TTGCTTCTAAATATCATATTAATGACTAGTGGTTTATTGGTTGATTAGTGAGAGTAATACTAGAAATTAATTAAAATTCAAATGTTCTTGATTTAAGTAGAAGGGATAGTGGAGTATCAAAATTTTAAAATAAAACTTTAATTAAATATCTGAAGTAGAACTAAATTTTGAAACATTCCAAAAAAGAAATGGCCCTATTAGATTTAAATGGCGAAAGAATATGTTAATTTCAATACATTTCGTAGTAATAATAATAATCATTCAAGGATTTGTCACTTAGTTAATAAAAAAATAGAAAAATATGCAATTAGTTCACATAAAATTATTTGGGCAGATTTACAATTATTAGGGTGAGATACTACAATTATTACATACAATAGAGGTATAATATAAATAAGTTTAGTTTGACACACTGATTAGGCTTAGCCCATTTTTAATATTTGCTAAATTCTACAATTTGACTATCATTTGTAACATGGGCCAAATCAAACGCTTAGATCACCAATCAACGAATTTAGCCCTATCAAAATGAGCTCTTATCTGTATTAATGTGAGGAGACATCAATTTGAGCCCAGGAAAATAATTTTCCGTAAAAAATAAAATCATGAAGCAATTGGACTTTTTCAAATAATGTCGCAAATTGGTGACAGTATTATTAAATGACGCCATATTTCAATAATTTGTAGCATAATGAAAATGTGACACATTTGTAATGCAAACTATGTCGATAAATTAACGACAATTCGTCCACATTGCTGCAAATATGTGCCAAAATGTTACGTGAAAAAATTAAATGCCACATATTTGTCGCAAATATAGAGCACTTTTGTAAATTGATGCAATCGTGTCATAAATCTGCAATAGAAGTTAAATTTTGCCGTTAATTAAAGAAACTTAATTCAAGTGTCTCAACTATGTCCCACAATTTTCGGGGCAAAAAGGTTCAATGTCACATATTTGCTGTCAAATTGCCAAATATTTTTAAATGACACATTTATGTCTCAAATACGCGACACATATGCAAGAATGCCGTGCATTAACAGCATTTAAGTGCGGCATTGTATAAGAAAGTGTCGCCGAAGGCCATATTTCTTGTAGTGAGTGTCTGATTGAACACAATTCTATACCATAAAAGTAACAACCATAAAAAGAAGCTAGAGAAAGGATAGTGGAATAAGAACCCCAAGACACTTAGCAATCTCAATTTGTCACTTTCGCAAATCTTCTGTTTTCTCTGTTAGCTTGTTGCCTTAGACGAATCAATTGGAGTTACCTAGTTTCACCCCTCCCTATGGGATCAACCCTGGTTACCACTGTTTGCAGTTTTACCAATGTCTGCACACTATGACCAATACCTCTGTCTTAATATTTCTCTAACCTATTTTCAAGCTTAGCTCCAATAACAAAATCGTTTCTTGCCAGCCCACCCCCTCTTCTTTGGCCCCGTCTTGGTTAAATACACTTGAACCCATTCCAACATTCCAAGAATATGAAGTTCCCTATCATGCAATATTACTCTATTTGAAAGCCTCACAAATATTGTTGGTTAACATATTACTCGTGGGTGTTGTTCTAAAGTGTAACCTACACCAAAAAGAAAAATCCTTATACTTTAACCATCTCTAAGCAGCTTCATCATGTTCCTTTAGAGCTTCCGTTAATTTGTCATGCTCTTCTTTTGTAACTTGCTTTTGTAATTTCAAAAAGATTTTGGTTTAGAAGAAGCCAGTGTGATTGACTTTGAAGTTTGACCACAAATGATGTGCATAATGCCTATGCGAAATAGCAGGAAAATTTGGCTTAACAGTTGGCGATAGAGCCTGCCAAATGAATGCTCAATATTGGAAATTCATATATTTAAAAATTACAAAAACCAGTACAAACATGTTTTAAATTTTTTTGGGTAAAATGTAAATATATTGATCATTAACAGTGTGCTTTCATTTTTACAACCAAAAAATGACTCCTTTACTTCCTACCTGCTTAACTATTACATACTCTTTAACTATACATCATCTATTTAGAACAACAAATTCAAAATTTTTGTTCACCAGCTTTCTTTTTCCTCCAAATATTCTACCATTTCGCTCTTCCCAATTAGGATAGACAACAGCAACCAAGCAGCATAGAATAGTTTCCTTTTCAATTTCAACCCTATGCACACTTTCAGTACTTGTTCTCTCCACATGCCTTGAGACTATGACTGTCCTTGTATTCTTCACTACTAATTGGATCAGTTTTGAGGCAAACCAACACTCAAAGAAAAGATAATATGAGGTTTCCTTATCAACTTGACAACACAAAGAAAAGATAATATGAGGTTTCCTTATCAACTTGACAGAACACACATTCCCGCCTCCCCTCCGCATGTGCATTTTCTCCAACCTGTCTTTAGTAAGAAGCCTATTCTTCCAGAACAGCCTTAGATGAAAGTATGCTTTGGCACAAAAAAAAATTGACCATACAAAACTAGCTATATGCATTTCATCAGCTCTTCCCATTAGCCAATTATATCTAGTAGAGACAGTGTACTTGCCTGTTTTCGAGTGCTTCCATTTCAGGTCCTCAAATTCATCCTTCACCTTCTCTTTGAGCTTAAACACCTGTTTCCAGTGCCAGTTAGAGCTTTGTTTAGGTTGTATATGTCTAAACTCTTGTTGTTTTATATAATGCTCATGTATCCACCTAATCCAAATATTATCCTCCTTTGCAGCTATACTCCACACCTATTTAATTAAAACGGCTTTATTCAAAACTTGGGAATCTCTAATATTTAGTCCCCCATCCTTCTTTCTTCTACATACCCGATTCTGACCAGTGCAAGGCTACTTCTAGCATCTTTTTAACCCCACAAGAAGCATCTCCACATTCTAGTGATTTGTTGTGTAACACTGTGTGGGATGGCAAACATGGAAGCCAAATAGTTACTCATTGCTAACATAACTACATTCACGATTTGTTGTGTAATACTGCGTGGAGTAACCTGTTTTATCAAACTCAATTGTTGTTTCCAGTCCAGGACTGGTCCTTTGCTATAAACAATTTCCTGAGATTCTACCCTCTTACTGCACTGGCCAAGCTGCTTCGATAAAACTCAATGAAGTGATCTTTGACAGCCCTTCAATCACTTATCACTTCCTCTTCTTCAGTCACAATTGAGCATATTCTATTGTTTATCTGCTAATTCTCATTTTAGTGTGGAAATTAGAGCTGTTAGGATCACCCTGCTTCATCCACAGTTCCTTGGCCTTCTGATAACAGAAGCTTTCATATTCCTTGCTGGTTTCAATGTACTTATTATGCAATTCCCTTTCCAACTGCTGCAATTTCTCATCTGTTATTCTGCAAGTTAATTGCTCCTGGCATTGCTGCAAACAGGTTAAATCATGCTGAGTCTACTATTGTATGTCATGAAAGGTACTTCTGTTCAATTTCTTTAACATTGGTTTTAATCTCTTTAGTTTTGAAGTTAGCCGGTACGTACATGTTCCTGCAATAGGCTTAGTCCATACTTCCTATACCCTCTCCTTGAACTCCCTTGCCTGACTCCACATATTAAAGTACTTAGATTTAAGGAGCTTAATTGTTATACCTTCAGTTGCACTGCTAAGGGTGTATGATATGAGATTCCTTCCGCAATAATAGTAACTAAAGACTGTGGATATTTCATCAGTCATTGTTCATTTATCAGAGCCTTGTCAATTCATGAATAGATCATTCCTTCTCCTATTTCTTTGTTAGACCATGTTAATTTAGGACCTTGTTGTTTTAAATCCTTCACCTCACATAGCTCTATACATCTCTGGAACTCTAAGATTTCATTTAAAGTTACTTGCTTTCCCCCCATCCTTTCCTTAACATGTAGTACATTACTAAAATCTCCTAGAATTAACCATAACATACTAAGGAGCCGTTTGTTTGATTGGAATCAGATTCAAGATTCAGATTCGGAATAGAATGAAATGTTTGGTTGATTTGATGGAAAACAAGAAGGATCAAGAACCACTTGATCCAATTACAAATAAGGAGGTACAGTGTATATAGTTTAGGTAGAAATAGGACTACACTTGTATATATTAAATAGAACAGGACCTTAGTTGTAAATACAGAGGTCAACAGAAGTCAGTATTATTATTGTATATATAAATAGGGACTTAGACACAGATTTATGTATGTTTTTTTCTCTTCCTGGTCTTTCTAGAACATTGCAGTTTTTCCTCTGCCATTGACGGCGGTAACCGTCTCTTCTTGCCGTCGATTCTGAATTCTGGTGATGGTATCAGAGCAGGTGTGAACCTGCCTGAATACTAAACCGAGAAAACCTCCAGTTTACCTTCTAAGATAAAACCTCAACCTCGATTCAAGATATGGAGAACGAAGAAGGAGAAAGTCGTCACGAACGCGAAGAACGAGCAGAAGTATCAACGTCTACATATGGCGGTGCGGCGGAGCAAGGAATGATCGATTCTATGGTCGGACTGAGCGTGGCTATGCCCGAAGTCCAGTAATCGACCGAGATTTGGAATGGTTCATAGAGGAACAGCTCGAATTGCATGGATCTGACAATCCGGGAACAAATTTGGTAAGCAATCCTTTGACTACCAAAAATTTTCTGATGTGGAAAATGTCTGCTATTACTGCGCTAGATGCGAAGATGAAACTAGGTTTTATTGATGGATGTTGTCGTATGCCTGATGTGAATTCGCCTGATTATTTGAGATGAAGAAGGGTAGACAGTATGGTTAGGTCGTGGATACTCAATTCTATTGAATCGAGTCAAGCAGGTAGTTTTGCCTTTATACCTACAGCTAAGCAGTTATGGGAGACTATCGTGGCTAGGTATGGCAAGATTAATGGTTCAACAGTGTATCAACTAAAAAGGGAGTTAGCATTGATTAGTCAGGGAACAATGAATATGGTGGAATATTATAATAAATTGAACAAACTATGGGACAAATATAGTCAGTGGAGACCTCGTATAGTTTGTGAACCAGAGGCAATGAAGAAATTGCATGAAAGAGAGAATGAGGATAAGATCTATCAAATGTTGATGGGGTTGAATGACAGATATGAGCCTGTTAGAAGTGAGATACTCAGGCAAGATCCACTTCCGAGTCTGGATGACATTTATGCTAAGCTTTTGAATGAAGAAGCACAAAGACAGGTTAGCAATGTGGTTGCCATTCAGCCTGAAAATGTGGCCATGATGACAAGACCAACAGAAAACGTGGCTATGTTAGCTAAACCAGGAATATGGAAAAAGATGCAGATCAGAAGGATTGGAAGGAGATTAAGGCAGCTGCAAAAAGGGAAAAAATGAAGCTATTCTGCACACACTGCAAGCGTACTGGGCATATTAAGGAAACATGTTTTTTGATTAAAGGTTTTCCGGACTGGTATGAAGAGAAATACAGGAATGCTACTCAAGGATCACACTCTACACAAGGACGGCAAGGTTCTTCTGTCAAACAGGGAGGCTATCAGCAAGCACATCTGGCTGACACACCTGTGGAAGTTTCTGTGGGAAGCAACTTACATGGCAATGGTAATGGTGAAGGTTGGCAGGCTGCAGTAGCACAGTTGGTTCAGGCTAAGATAGGGAGGATAAAGAAAGGAAAGGCACCAATGGAGATCGGAGCACATCACACAGCAAATTACGCACATCTCCATGATTTTGCAGGTAATAACGTCATACCTTCTCTCAATAAAAATAGCTTTTACATTAGTAGTCTTGTTTGGATCACTGATAGTGGAGCAACTGCGCATATGTGTTGTTCTTTGAGTTTGTTAGTGCATGCTCAACTTGCCAGTTCTTATACTCCTGTTTTCTTGCCCGATGGAAGTGTTAGACAGGTTCATCATATAGGGGAAGCAAAACTGTCAAATGCTTTGACCCTAAAATCAGTCTTACATGTGCCCTCTTTTAAACATAACCTGTTGTCTGTTAGGAAATTAGCACAAACCTCTGGTGTCTACGTAAAGTTCTTTGACGAATTCTGTCTACTGCAGGACCTGAGGACTAATAAGGTTCTTGGAGCAGGCATGGTTGTTAATGGACTATACATAATCAATTCTTACTCATTCACACAAGAAGCCATACAGCACACTCATATCTTCTATACTAGGTTACTTTTATCACTTTCTAGGGTTTCTGCAAATGTATCCACCACCTCAGGGAATGTAAATCTTGCAAATAGATATGCCAATGCAAATGTTGCTGTGTCAACATGGCATAATAGGTTGGGACATCCTTCCGATGTAGTGTTACAACACATACAAAATCATGAAATTTCTGATATCAATAAAGATCATCAAGTTTGTGATGTTTGTCCTTTAGCTAAACAGCGTAAATTGCCTTTTTCCCTTAGTTCTATTCAAACTACATCTATTTTTGAATTGTTGCATGCAGATGTATGGGGACCTTATAAGATCTTGTCCCTTACTAATGCACAATATTTCTTAACATTGGTCGATGATTTCAGTCGTTCCGCTTGGACATTTCTTCTAAAACATAAATCAGAAGTCTCAGAAGTTCTCCGACTTTTTTTCCTCTTAGTACAGACACAGTATAGCTGTCATGTCAAGATCCTTAGGACTGACAATGGCTCTGAATTTCTGAGTACACAAACCCAAAAACTTCTTTCTGAATTGGGAATTATTCACCAAAGGTCCTGTCCTTATACACCCCAACAGAACGGGGTGGTTGAAAGGAAGCATCAACACTTGTTGCAAGTAGCTAGAGCTTTGTTAATTCACTCTGGCTTACCTAAGCCTTTTTGGGGGGAATCCATTCTTTCAACCACTTTTCTTATCAATAGGACACCTTCACAGTTGCTTGGGTGGAAAACACCATTTGAACTTTTACATGGCAAACTGCAGATCTTGTCTCATCTTCGAACTTTTGGTTGCCTAGCTTTCGTCATAAATAATAGGCCTGATAAAGACAAGTTTGATTGTCGATCCTTTAAGGTAATCTTTGTAGGTTATCCTACCGGGCAGAAAGGTTATAAAATTTATGTCCCGCATCTCAGGAAAATTGTTATCTCTCGAGATGTCCAGTTTCATGATTCCATTTTTCCATATAAGGGTCATGCTTTAGAATCTGATGATACTTCTGTTCTACCTTGTACTATTTTCTCCAATGTTGAATATACACCATCTGAGATATCTGAGATGTTCCAAAGTGATTCACGTCCTAATTCTTCAGTCTTCTTCTACCCCTCTCTTTGATCATCCAGAGCAAAGAGAACCTGCTTCCATACTACGATCCTCCCCTGTTCAACCTGGTGTTTCTCCTTCTGTTTCCCTACCTTCATCTATTCTTGATCCAATTATATCACAGTCAAACCCTTCTTTCCCACCGACTCTCAGAAGAAGTGATAGGCCCAAGAAACCCCCCAGCTGGCTTACTGATTTTCAGCTAGCTCATCACTGTACCGACCTTACCTCTTCTGTGCCACAGCTTCTTCCCAAAGAGTCATGCACTTTCTCTCTAGAGCATTTACATTTTGTTGCAAATATTTCTGCTGTTAGTGAACCACAGACATACTTTAAAGCTAAGGATGATCCGCGTTGGATTAAAGCCATGAATGAGGAACTCTCAGCTCTTGAGGAGAACCAAACTTGGACCCTCACTTCTCTGCCCGAAGGAAAACGAGCTATAGGTTGCAAATGGGTTTACTAAGTCAAATGTAAACCCGATGGCTCAGTGGATCGTTATAAGGCTCGTCTCGTGGCAAAAAGGATACACTCAAATAGAAGGTGAGGATTACTTTGAGGTTTTCTCACCAGTTGCAAAATCTGTGACAGTTAGGGTTTTTCTGGTCTTAGCTGTTAGTCGTAACTGGAACGTTCATCAGTTGGACGTGAATAACGCCTTCCTCCACAATCATTTAGATGAGGAGGTGTATATGCTTCCCCCTCTTGGGTATGCAAAAGCCACTTCTTCTCAGGTATGTAAGCTGCAAAAGTCTTTATACGGCTTGAAGCAGGCTTCGAGGCAGTGGAATAGTGCCTTTACTTCTATTCTAGTTGATTATGGTTTTAAACAATCCTACTCAGATCCGTGTCTTTTTGTGCTCCGTACTTCTTCTGTTATGATCATGCTCATTGTATATGTTGATGATGTTCTAATCACTGGATCCGATGAAAGTGAGATTATGAAGGTAAAGAATCTCATTCACCAGGCTTTTACTATCAAGGATTTGGGGACTGCTAAGTTTTTTTTAGGGATTGAAATCGCTCGAGGGTCAGCCGGCATGTATCTAAGTCAACATAAGTACATTACAGATATCCTCACTGATGCTGGGATGCTTGATGCCCAGCCTGCTGCCACGCCTTTTCCTTCTGATCTCCGTTTCTCCAAGAAGGATACCACAGCCTTCCTCTCTGATGCATCTCAGTATCACAGACTCGTGGGTAGGCTCTTATATCTTTCTTTTACTCGGCCTGATTTAACTCATGTAGTGCAACAGCTCTCACAGTTTGTCCATGCTCCCCGGCAAAACTCACTGGAATGCAGCTCAACACTTGCTCAGGTATCTTGTTGGTACTTCTACTCAGGGTCTCTTTTATCCATCTACTACTTCCTTGGCTGTTACTGCATACTCTGATGCTGATTGGGGGTGTTGTGACTTCACACGGCACTCTCTAACCGGTTATTGTATATTTGTTGGTGACTGTCTTGTGTCCTGGAAGACAAAGAAGCAGCCAACCATCTCTTGTTCCTCAGCTGAAGCTGAGTACAGGTCTATGGCGCATACAGTTCGGGAGTTACAATGGCTGTCCTATCTTTTATCTGATATGGGAGTTCAAGTTGTTTTGCCTATTCCTTTTTGGTTTGACAGTTGTGCCGCTTTGTACATCGCCGCAAATCCCGTCTTCCACGAGAGGATGAAGCACATCGAAATAGACTGTCACGTCGTCCGTGACTCTTATGCTTCTGGCTTCATCAACCTTCTTTACATCCGTTCTGCAAATCAGCTTGCTGCTGCTACTTTTCATACTCTTCTTGGCAAGATGAGTCTTTGGACTTCTGCCCACGCTCATCTTGAGGAGGGCGTGATGGAAAACAGGAAGGATCAAGAACCACTTGATCCAATTACAAATAAGGAGGTACAGTGTATATAGTTTAGGTAGAAATAGGACTATACTTGTATATATTAAATAGAACAGGACCTTAGTTGTAAACACTTGTATATATTAAGTAGAACAGGACCTTAGTTGTAAATACAGAGGTCAACAGAAGTCAGTATTATTATTGTATATATAAATAGGGACTTAGACACAGATTTATGTATGTTTTTTCTCTTCCTGGTCTTTCTAGAACATTGCAGTTTTTCCTCTGCCATTGACGGTGGTAACCGTCTCTTCTTGCCGTCGATTTTGAATTCCGGTGATGATTGGATTCGTGATTTCCGGGAATTGTTGAATCTGAAAGATGCAATCCCACCTCACCCCCTTCATTCGATATTAAATCCTTTTCTAATTTTTTTTAATAAAAAATTTATCTCTCTTTTCTCTCCTCCTCTATCCTTCCATATCCACCTCCTCCCTCCCTCCCTATGAGCCCACCGGCCACCACAACCATAGGCCTTTCACACCCTCTCTTTCACATAGAGAAATATGCAAAACCACAATTTGAATGCATAATATGGACATCTCATAAGTTATTGCACTCGCAGAGAAAGAGGGTTTGTTGGGTAATTGAGATTTTCTTTTTCTTTCTCTTTATAGCGGCTATGATGAATTCCACTCCCCAAAATCTCTCTTTCCTAACTCAATTGTCACTGCCCCATCATCTCCCATCGCCACCGCCGTCATATCTGCACTTACACCAAGGACAATGAAAAATAAATCTGTAAAATAAATACCAATTAATTGAAGAATGGCAACAACAAGGAAGCCATCAATTTGAAAGGAGCTTGAATGGGCAGGAAGGATAGAGTAGGAGGAGGAGGTGATGATGACCAGATCTGAAGGTGATGTTGTTTAACGGAGAAAGGGTGGAGGAGGATGACTTTGAAAATAGGGGGAAAATGATTTTTTTAAAATATAATTAATTCAATCCAAATTTTAAACCAAACGGTCTATGGGATTTATGAATTCGTGAATATTCGAATCCAATCCCCATCATTCAAATCCGTTTCCTGAATCCATTTCCAGATGACAAAACAAACGCCTCCCAACCTTTTCTGCCAAACTAATCATTTCTTTCCATAGTAATTTCCTTTCTATATGTTGATTAGATCCATACACTACAGTGTAAAAAAATGCTTTCTTACTATTTAGTATTTCTATCCAACAATGTATGTATTGTTTTCCTTTTGGTACTACATTCTTTTTTTTTTAAAAAAAAAGGGGATCAATAGTGGTTCCCCACTTACCCCCGGTGTGATTCGAACCCGTGACCTATTGATCAACAGGTGAGGCGTCTAACCACTAAGCTGCACCTCGTTTTCTTTGTACTACATTTACTTCCATATTTCTTGGACTCTATATAAGTAGAATTCTACCCTTCTCTTCATTCTCAGCATTACTACACTTTCTAGCCCATGCCAATATTTAGTCATCATT